AAAAAAAAGACGAATATTTTTTTCCATATTTCAGGTGCTGCACCAATCGCAACATTGAATTTACAACACTGTGGAGAAGGTTGCGACATACCGGATGCATGGCATCATCAAATGATATTCGGCGTAGGACAGGCTGGCATATATTTAACAAATCCTCTAGAATGTTTACCTGAACAGGTTCGTAAAATTGATTGATTCATGGAAATAAATTTATTGCACACCTAAGTTGTTGCTTAGGTATTTGATTAGTCTTATTTTTGTAACATGATTTTAGCTCGTATGGCATCAATTAGTTAGTCCCAGTATCCTGTTAATACGAAAAACAGATGTTCTAGCGCATTGGAATGCAAATACAGATCTAACATCACTTGCGACAATGGACCAGAAGTGGCGAAAACTTAATGTTCTTGGTACTTTATATGTACTTCTTTCATATATACTATTTCTATATTCGTATAATCATAATAATTTTAATAAAACATTTTTGGCAACAGGGCAAGTTGTAAATATGGTACGTGAGTCAATGAGTCGAAGGCAACAGCCGAATAACACAACTACCGGAATGACTCACATTCGCATTCCGGCGTCTTATCAAGCAGGCATTACATTGGTTATGTGTGCAGATTCCGCCGCAGCCACTGAATTATTACATGCAGAACAACTACCACTACTCTAGTCCTATTGATCAAAATTAATAAAACGGACTGGCCCACTTGATTTATAATACATTTTATTAGCAGGCTAGTCCACATACAATGCCCTTATTCCTAGTTCATTTCTGTAAAAACCAACAGGATAGAAATAATTTACATTTTTGACACAGAACGCGTTTGTATTCAAAAAGAGAATATTATTGATTAAAATATATTTCAATATAATATTTCTGTTAATATGTAGTTATATTGATTGTATTAAATATAAGCTGTAGAGATTAAATTTTTATGTATGATACTTCATGTAGTAACAAGCAGATTTATACACACATTGATAAAATTGTTCAGATTATATTATTTCTACAAAGAAAAAAGCGATATAAGGAATTTGATATTTTCCACACACACATTGCTGGTATTACTGTTTCTATTCTCTTATTTTCTTTTCTTTTTCTTAATAAAAATGTACATATATAGTCAATAATGACTAGTAATGAACCACATAAGCTCATAACGAAGTGTCTTGGTAATTGTGTAACAAAAAAAAAACCGCTATATTTCGTATGTATAAATTTTAATATAGAGAACCTTATTACACTTATCATCCTACATCGGAATCGCGGCAAAGTGCTCGTCTTAGATATGTTGACGAAAGAATAATTTTGTGCAGACGTGTAAAACATAAATATCGAGTTTTATGTACATGTACACAATTGTATAATCCAGTACATCTCCAATGTTTATTTTTAGCGAAGTTCTCTTTTTTTTACAAATCCGACATACTAAAATGATAAAAGTTTTTGTTATATGAAAAATTAATATATAATTGCACATTATTCATATTTAGTTTAGAAGAATCTCTTACCTTTCTATAAAAGGTGCACGCATACTTGTTGTAATAGGAGTTGGATTAGCTTCATTAAGTTTAAAAACGCTCTCGATACGAGCGATTTCTGTTGAAGTGGTATCCATGCCACAGAAAGCAGCCCAATCGTTTACAACCATACCGGCTGCAATTACATTACTGCCTCTATTCACTGTTCCAGTCTGAAATGTAATTACCAATTGAAAACAAAGAAAATCATGAACTTTTCCTATTTGTCTTACCGCGAGTGGTACTTGTAGAAGAGAGGATAATTCATCTTGTTCCTGTATAGACATATTTGGGTGCACCAAACCACCTTGATTGGATAAAATGGAATATGATCCAACAAGAACATTGCTTGCAACAGTTTGCCTAAATACTTCCACATTCAAGGTATCAGCTAAAATTTCTTCAGTTTCCTACACAGTAAAATTACAAATTATACTTATTAATTTATCATACTTTAAGTACAAGTAAATCAATCTATTCAATTATGACGAGAAACTATATCAAAGACTTACTTTATCCAGATCTGGATGAACTAGAGCGACGTAATCGTTGCATGCTATAACATTGCCGAGAGCAGACAGCCTCTCTTCTACTCTTTGTACTTTCACATTATCTGGTAACGAATTTCGAATGTGTTGCAATTCTGTATCTGTTGTTGTATTTGGCACTAATAATCCATTTTTATTTCCTGTATTGTAACATAAGTATTTATAAACAATATATACATATATATAGGTGTATGTATATATATATATAAATGTATGAAAAATTTATGTGTATATATATATATATACACATAAATTTTTTTTTATTTTTGATATTTCCAAGAAATATATTTTTTTATAGCACTAACTTTTTCACAATGCAGAAAAAAATTAGTGTTAGTAGAGATATTATTTTGATTCTATATTTATACTGAAAGCATAATTTTGAAGAAACTGTAATGTTCCAAGAGCTATACAGAAAATTTTTTGAAGATCAACTTTTTTTTTCAGTTTTTATAATCATTTAATTATTTATATCTTATTATTGTGCTATATTATATGATAACCAGTTTAGTCAATATTCTGGTATCAATAAAAATTACTTTCTCACTTACACTTTAATAGTACTAGCACTTAATATCCATATGCTGATAAAAATTTTAATATACTTGCCAACACAGAGTCGACCTATAATACGACATCCTGCCACTGATGCGTGAATAACAGGAATTGTCTCTGCTAATTCTGCTTCAAATACACTGCAATTTCATCAATAATGAATATGATAAAATTATAACAAATATATACACATATGGTTGAGATATTGCAAAATTACTAAGAGATGACAATATGACATTTCACTAGTATAATTAGCAATATATTATATTACATTACTATACATTTATAATAAAGTTTAACATTTATAATTGCATTCTATTCTGCTTAATAATGCATAATTATGTACTATTTTATATGTTTTAAGGTTATGTATCAAAATATTTATCTTAATATTAACGAATTCTCTTTTGATGTGTTTTATATGCATCGTATTAATAAACAAAATAAAAATTAAAAATATATATATATATATATAAGAATGACGATTTCACATAATTGTGTTATGAATGACATCATTCTCACCTGTAAAAGTTTTCGGAACCGCCGATCGCTACCAAGCAATAAGAGTTTGTCAATTTTGAGAAGACGCCAATCTCGTTGTTGTTTTCGAATTGTGCACGCACTGCCATGATCGCGATTGCACAGCTTTTACATCAGCGTACAAGTTAAAATTTCGTGAACGTTTACGTTCGGTAAATTTGTAAACGCTAACCTCGAAAATTTGCCGCTGCTCTCTGTCGTGGAACACGAGGTGAGGGCCAGGGATGATCAAACATCAAACTAGAACTAGAGTGCCTAGTTACTTCTAGGGACTCTAGACCAAACGAATCCCGCAACTCCCGCAGTTCACGGTTTAGCAGTGGAGGGGATAACGCACGCGAACGCGATATACATATATATATATATA